TCTCATTCTTTCATGCCAATCATTTCAAGGGGGCGGTAGAGCATAAACAATGGTGTGACTACAGGTGGATTTTTTTCGTGTCGCACTTCATGCTTGTGGTCGCGCTCCGCGCTCGTATATCGCGTTTCCCTTTCTGTCCTGCTAATCCACCTGTTCTGCAGGCTACAGGTCATGTAGCTACATTTCAGGTTAGAAAAGGAGAGAGAAAGTCAAAGGGTGAATTTGGGTATAATATTTAGGTGTCTGGAAGTTAGAGCAGGCCTTTCAAATCAGTTGTAAAGAAAAAGTAAAAATTTTTGTAGGGAAGGAGGCAGTTGAATGATTACTGAATTCCTAAGCATTGTAGAATTTCCTAAGCCAAGAAGGGGGTTTAGATGAAGATGGAAGGGCATGGATATTTCCAGAATCTGCACCCATTGCATGTATCTTCATTATCTTAAGAATCTACATTCATTGAGCTTTCAAATGGTGAATTCAACACAGAATTCTGTAACAATATCCAAGATTTCACACATGCACAGACTATGACACTGTCCCTAAATAATAAATCAGGCGTTTCATTAGGTGCCAGGCAGCAGGCAAATTGACCGGCTGTGAGGATGATGTTGTCAACCTGGTTTGACCATCTACAGAAAAGGTTTTCTTCTGACAAAGTTCAGTTGAAAGAATTTTGCCTGCCTTTGAAAACCAGTTGCCCTCCTACTGTAAATGTTAATGTAACCCTTGATAACAACAAAATGCATTCATTCATTCAAATGGTAATTTTTATTGACACCTAAAAATTTTCACTTGTGTTAGGGTAAATTGCAACACATTTCACAAATCAGTTGATGCCAGAACTTGACAGAGAAATATATGTAACCAAAGAGAGTAAGGATTCAAGTGCTGGCATCTCACTTGGAATAATTATTGATCTGTCATATTGTATTTATTAATTGTCACTGTATATATAGTTTCCATCAGTGATCACATATGATACATGTAGCTTACTACAGTGGGTAGCCCAACTGTGAAAACTTGCATCAACTTGCATGCAAATTTGATTTTGACCAAAGTGAGCGCAAGTCGTCACAGGTCAACGCAAGTGTACCCAAGCCCTGGCCAAATGAAGTCGCAAGTAGACCCAAGTTTTGAGCTTGCCTCTACTTGCGGGTCCATTTGGCCAGGACTTTACTTTTGGAATGTCGCTACTTTCAGCATTTGTTAACAGCCATGAAATTTA